TCCAGAATAGCAAACCCACTGTCATCAAGTTGATTCCAACTCACAACGACCCTTTATAGGGATTCTGAGGCTGCTGATCTGTATGAGCAGACAGCCTCATCTTTCTTTGAGAGAGCCACTGCACTGGTGGACTTGAACTGTTGACCTTGTGATTAGCAGTCCATTGCTTATCTTGCAGTGCCACCAGGGCTCATTAGTTGTATGTGAGGTAATAAATTTTATAAAGAAAGCTATACCTGAAGTTTCTTTTCTTTGGTTCACCACATTTTATTGTTTCCAAAACTGAATAGGAATGACTTTTTAAAATACCAGTTCATTTGAATATTTCAAATTCTCATAAGACAGGCAATTCTCTATTTGCCACATACTGATGTTAGACTGTGAAGTAATATGGTTCTTGCTAAAAGTGCATGTAACATACATACATGCAAAGTTTTATCCTAAAACATTTAATTCAGTATAATTTGTGCACATTTTAATGTATTTTACTTTTTGTCTACCTCAGTATTTACAGTGGCATAACCTACTTTTATGGTACTCCATCTATTATTTTATGACCCCTAGTTAAGTTTTCCATGTTAAAATCATTAATATTCATGGAAAAATAAAAAATTAACCTTGTGAGCCAAAATCTCCTAAAATTAATGATTCAAAGAATCCTTTAGTGTACATTCTTTTCTGTTTTTCATTTTTAAGCGAGTCTTATATTTAGTTTTCATTGATGTCTAAACAGTTTAGATTTAATATGCTCAGCAAATGGTTTTGCTAATTATATGACATTGTCTTTCCAAAACCCATTTCATTTTCATTTATAAGTTTCTCTTTAGGGAGAATCTCAAACGACTATATTTTAACTTTCACTTCAGTGAACACAATCTTCAGGGGTTCAATGAAACCAGTTTTAATTTACCACACTTATTTAATGATATTAATAATAACTGTGGCTTCTGGTTTGAGTTTCAAGGGTTTATGTGGAATGTTAGGCAAGTTGCTAAGTAAAATACCATATGTTACCACCAGAGGGTAGTGTTTCCATTGAAAATTTTTACAGATGATCAGGTTGAATTTGTTCTGATTAAACACTAGTCAAATATAACTTTGTTATGGAAGGCCTTATTTTCATAATCTCAAATAGTGATTCAATGGATACACTTAATGGATTAATGTATTTATATTTAATTCAAACTATATTTTCTTTAGCCCATTATTCCTATGTTTACACAAAATATTCGAGAAGGATTTCGATCACTCGGAGGAACAAGTAAGTTGTGATTCATTTCGTTTCTCTAATTTAAGTATTTAAATATTTTAGAAATAAAACTGTATTTAAAACTTTCATTTGGAACCCTCTAAGTAACCTTTTTTAATTATTCCAGAAAATGAATATGTTGTTGAAATGCTACATATTCTGTTAAAGGTCTAAATGATAATTGATTATCACTAATGGTGGTTCTTAGACTTTAGATTTTTGTTAAGATTATTGAAGTTGATTTGTAGTGGCTTTTAAGATTTCGGAGAGAATTATCTCCTTTATGTATTATTTATTGTTGTTGAGGTTGAGAACAAATTTCCATATTGTCCGAGACTGTGTTTTTAACTCATCCCTGAAAAAATTACAGTCTAAAAAAAATGATGATATGATATTGAACTAAGATTAATGTCATTTGCTTTGATTTTCTTATATAATTTTTGTTATTTTTAATATTTA